ATCATCTTAATTATCATCATTATTATCATTATTATTATTCCCCTTTGGATAGCTGAGGTTAATGCTTCAAAGACCGGCTCACTAGGTGACAGAGGAGTCAAAGGAGAGCAGACAGGAAAGGATGGACAGAGAGACGTGAATGGGTGCAGTGGAAGCTTTGTGTTGAAGAGAAGGTCAAGTTAGAGCTCTTTGGTTTTATTCTTTAACATCTGACTCGCTTTTGCTTGTGTTGCTGGAGAAACCTTTGGACTAAAGCTGTATTGTAGAGGAGAGAGAGAAAGAAGAATAAAGGGATGAAAGAGAAGAGCATGTATGTGTGGATGAGAGTGGGTGGAGGAAGAAGAAGCAGCTTGTTGTTGTTGTTTTCTTTGCTCTGCTCGCTGTGTCTCTCGTTCTCCAACAACAATTACACCTCTCGTGCCTTTGTGTCCAGAGAAAGTTGCTTCCTAACATGGTCTTGACATGGTTTCAAACATTGTATTGTGCATTTTAAAGAAATAGTTTCATTTTGCAAATAGGCTTATTCGTTGTTGTTTTTTTGCTAAGAGTTAAATGAGAAGATTGAGACCACTCTCGTGGATACAGCCAGGGGATAGTTAGCTTAGCTTAGCATAAAGACTGGAAACAAACTCTGTCCAAATGCGGTGGAAATTGCGAATCACTTTGCTGATTCAAATAGTTTCGTTCAGTTCAGTTCAAAGATAAGTAGTCACTCACTGAAGTTCAGTTTGTTGCTGGTTAAAGTTGTTACTTTCAGTTTAGTGCAGAACTATACCTACTCAAGCTCTGTTTTAAGGTCAGTAGCTGAGCAGACACTTCTTTGCATCAGAGTTATCACCTCACACTATTTTATGTGTCTTTCAGTAAGCCTTTAATCAGGCAGGAACTTACTGTGAATAAAGGCTGAGTCACCAGTAAGGGGAGCTCCACAGCTAAAAGCTACTGATTTGGGACAGTCAGTTTAGTTTAAATATGGTGTAAAGATTCATTCACAAAACACCACTACAGTCCACAGGTAACATAATCTGCCTACCAGCACCTTTAAAGCTCAGTAATTGAGATGTTACATAGTTTGTTTATAGTGTACAAAAATGGTGTGGTTGTATGAGGAGTTCGGTGTTGGAACTATTTCTTGGCCAGCTGCGATGACTTCCTGGAGTCTTGTTGTCCTGGCTGCTAGCTTTAGCTTCACATTCACCATCCAGATGTGAGAGTGGTATCTTCTCATCTAACTTTCAGCAAGAAAATAAATAAACCAAATTAATGAATTTCCCCAAAAAATTCTTCTATAGATGCTGTTGTAAAGGTACATCTCTGAGTCTATCTGTCCTGTTCTCCTGTAGAGACTATGTGATCGTGTGGAGAAAGACTTAGTAATTAATAGTAATTAATCTGCTGGTGTATGAACCATATGGAGGAAAGTGGAGTTTCTGAACACTCGGGTGGACGTCAGGATATTAGGGAGCGTGCAGGATCCCATGGCAGGGCATTGACTTTGGTATCATTCACTAAGGGGGGTATCCCCACTACAGAGGTCCTTACTTTACACCTGCTCCCTCAAACCCTGGGGTTCACAAAAAAGTGCCCCATCAGAAACACAGCAGAGTGACGCTGCTCTGCTTCCATTTCCTCTGTATACATGGAGAGACAGAGAGAGCAAAACAAGAAGACGGACTCTCAAGGAGAATCCTGACAGCTTGATCACATGTACGCCTCTCCTTCCAACTTCCAACGTCTCAACCCACAAAGAGTCATGAGAAGTGTCTGGACGTGTCACCTAGGAACCCCGGTCTCAACCGTTCCCCAGTTACCTGCCCAACAATGCTTCCTGATACACATGTATCAACTGGCCAATATGCCCCCTCATCAGGCTATGAAGACCTAAAGGCGAGAGAGGGCTCAGCGACCTTAGTGATAAAGTCACTCTGAGGCACAAAGCTTTTTTATGTCAAAAACTGATCCAGATCTGATCGTGGATCTGTGCCAAAGAGCACCTTTAAGCCCCCAGTCTGTGTTGTGACAGGGAGGAAGCAGTGAGGGGTCAGATATGAGGGAAGGGCTGTGTTCAAAGCTCAACACAGACAGCGGAGAGAGAGCGGGTGGGGGCAGTTTTCAGGGGAATAAGGTGTGTGTGTGTAGTGTGTGGGTGTGCGCATGAACCAGCGGTGCCCTTTGACCTCAAATGGCTCCTTCTGAATCCCATGGAGAAAATCTATCTGCAATCTATTCAATGATCTGTTACTTGGGAGCTCAATCCCATACCTCTATGTTTACCTCCATTAGGGCAACGACCTTTGACCAAGCCTTACTGTGTCTGCTCCCGGGCCACACCAACACACTGTCCACACGTACCATTCTGGTACCCTGATCCCCACTTGAACCCCGCATTTTAAAGCATTCATCTATTTGGTTTATCATCAAAGAATATGAGGTATATGATGAACTATCTCTCTTTTACATCCTACAGTGGATGAAGAAAAAAGTTGAAACTAACTCATAGAAAAGTGGAAACAAAAAGAGACAGAGACAAAGTGAGAAGTTAGAGGGCAATTTATGGATGGGAATCCAAAATCAGCCTCTTCTCTCTTGCCTCCTTCTTTCCTCTCTATCATGTAAAAAACTTTAGCCTTTGCCCTAGTTGATCTTCTTTGTTTGTGTTTTTGGTTGTGTAGCTGTAAAGCTTTCAGTGTGAGCTCCCTGTGGAGAAAATCCAGAGAACAGAAGCAGCACCGTGTCTCAAAGAACACCTCATGCTATAACTAAGGCAGTTTTCACACATACATCATATTTACACTTTCTCCATTGAAACAGGATTTCAACTTGCCGTTTTTGCCTTCTTATCAAGAGACACAAAGGCATGTGTCTGTCCAGAGAGCCTCACCGAATTCAATTTTTCCTGTAAATTACGAGGTGTTCGTCCACACAGTGCTGCCTCTCACTTCACTCCTCCTTTAAGAGGAGAGTCGTCTCAGTGAGGAAGAGGATATCTTTATGGCTGACCATCTAATCAGCCATATTCTCTTATTAAGTCCCTATAGGACCCCTGGTTGCATTTCTGGTATTATTTGGTTTACAGAAGTAAGAAAGAACTTCAGCAGGGGGCAAAAGAGTCCATCACAAATACATCCCAGAATATGAAAAAAGCACCTCTAGAAATAAATTAACGAATAAATAGCAAGGCAAAAAAGATAACAAGCAAATTAATTGACCCTACCCTGAATAAATAGTACAATCAAAAGTCTAAATCATCATTAATAAGGAGAAAGTCCAAAGAGAGATAGTTAAAATTTTTGGTCTAAAATCAAGTTATTATCATCAATGTTTTTTAGGATCTTTTTTCTCAGTCTTTTTTGTTTTTTGTTTTTAATACATTAGCGATAAGTAAGCAGTAGAACATAGATCTTTTTCTACAAAATCTATAGAAGCACTAACAGATACATTCCGTCTAAGAGTCAATGTGGAGAAAAGGTTTCACCTTTATGGTGCAAACCCCACATCTAAAGTTTGGTTCATGAAACGATTCTCGCGTGTCGACTGTTTTTCTGGTGTGGATCAAAACAAATATTCTTTGGATATGTTTACGTCCAGCTCTCTAACCGTCAACTTGACTGAGGGTGCTGCTGCGTGCGTTGCTCTGTATCTGAAGTGTTATGTTACTAGGGTCAAAATTTATGACAATACATCACTGCAGGGCGCTATTCATTTTTCTTGTCTTTTTTTTTAACCATTTGGCCTCCCATAAGCACTTACATACAGAAAAACGCACAGTTTCAACCCCAGACAAATTGACTTTAACCCATTTCTGTGCCCTCACACAGAGAAGGCAGTTCCTGTTCGACTCTATTGTGTTTGATTTGGTTCAGTATTTGGTTTGGCATTTTAAGGTTTGCTATTCAACTCTTTGTTTTTGGCTTTTTGTATGTCTTTTTTTCTGCCAAGACAGTCTGTTTGTTTATCTAATAAAAATCTGGAAGCTAAATTTTCACAGTATTTTTTCCAACCACCTGATAAAAATCTCTAGCACGACTACGAAAAAAATAAGGAGCTCTTGTAGTAAGTAAGCGAGTACGTTATTCCAAATGAGTAATAAGCACTAAAGTACAGTACATAAAACGGCATCAAGAGACACAGCAGAGATAAAACAATCAGAACCAACCAACAGAAAAATAAAAACAGATTTTTAGAAGATTTCAGTTCAGTGAGGTCATTTGCGTTTAGCTCCATCCAGGACCAGAGAGCTGAGCTGGAGAGAGTGAGAGGCAGGGGAGGGGAGGAATTTTCTGTCCTTCTTTTGCTCGCCTGTCTATCTGCCTGTCTATCCATCCCTCCATCCATGCTACACAGTTTCAGAGTGGGGTCAATGCTGCAGCCTTAAAGCTAACAGACAGAAAGACAGACAGACAGAGAGATGCGGCGGCTTCACTTCTTTCAACACCTGCACTTTGTCCTCCTCCCCTCCTCCCTCCAGCCACATTTGGTTAGGGTTCTTTTTGGTTTGCTTCTGTCATTCCTTGTGTGTTGTTTTTTTTTTTTGGTTTGGGTTTATTTTTGGTATCCTCTTACAAAAAAAAAGTGATGCCTGCTCCCCTCACTACGGTGTGTCCCTCCTTCGCCTGTCCCAGTGTACCCTTCTTTCCGGGGGTTCAAAGTAAAGGATCCGTTCCCTAAATAAAGCTTCCCCCATGGGTTTTTGGACAGGCCAGGTGGAGGGGTTACGCCAGGGGGCTTCCAGTGGATAACGTCCTGTTCTCAGTCCCCCCCAAAGACTTGTGTCTTTATTGTGTTCATGTGTCTAGGCTGAGGCTCTTTAAGAAGAGCTTGAGACAGCCTTGAGAATGCTTTGGTTTCCTTTTGAGAATTAATGGCAGTCTGAAGTGGAAAATGACAGTGAAATGTGATTGATGGAGTGATGATGGAAACAGACAAATATCAGTAAACATGTCTACACAGACAGGTGTTGGGCGTCTATACTGATTGATGAGGCAGGAATGAGAGCCGGCTGTGACTAAACTTGGCTTTATTAACTAATTTAGCGTTCAGTCTCAACAGTTATTACTTTATATCTCCAATCACAGCCCCTATTTCATACTTTAAAAGTGGTCGGCACTCTTAACCAATGTCATTTTCAGTGTGTGAAGTTTTCAGGGCATGTTCATTTAGCCATGGAGTCATCAATAATGGGGTATCTTGTGCGAGTGAGGAAAGAGTGGTCTGATTAAGAGCACAAAATGCCCCATGTTTAGGTCTTAATAAATTCATTCAGACCTTGAAATCAACTCGCATTGCCAACTCTATTTTGGATCTGTGGCACTTGGTGACAACTGAAATGAGTATCTTTTTCACCGTCATCATCTCTGTTCTTGCAGAAGAGTCACATTAAAAACAAAAAGAATGCACATTGACAACACAAAAACAGATGATGAAGACAATGATGATGACACTGATTATGATTCAAACCTCAAAAGCTGACACTAAAAAAACCTGCAACAATAAATAGGAGCTGGATTGTAAAATGACACTAATAAATAATCAAATAACAAATCCCAACTGTACTTTTCAAAATGTAAAAAATAGATACTGAATAACAAGCCTCTGTCAAGGAAATCTGAAACAAAAAAGAGAGAGGAAAGCTATTCTATGCTCTCAGAACCAGAGGTAGGTAAAGAGACTAACACATGAAGGTACAGTAGTACTGGCATTCATTCATACATGAGCTCTTCACTTGCTCGGTAACAATCTTTTACAAAATTATCCAAAATATCTAGCATGAAAATCTACGGGAGACACATGAGCTGACACAGACAGGATGAGTCAATGGCAGAATGGAGTGGCTCTTGATGTGTGTGTGTTTGTATGTGTGTGAGTAGCAGTAGCAATAGAGTCCTGGTCCTGGATAGCTTCAGTATTTACACGTCCTTTGAATAAAGCTTTTCTCTCCGTATTTTTGGTTTTTGGTATTTGGGATTTTGGTATGGTTGTCGTTTTTTTTTTGTCATTGTGTATTCCTCCTCCGCCTCCTCCTCAGGTAAATTTTTGGTTTAAACTTATCCTCCCTACTCCTCTTCCTTCAGACCCGCAGCTTTTCGAAATAATAAAAAAAAAGGAAAACCTAACAGTCCTCCTCTCCATTTTTTGTCCTTGCCGCCATTCCTTTGTCACATAGTAAAGTTATCTTTTGTCATTTTTGGTTTATGCACTCCGACATGCATCTCCGTCTCTTTCATCTCTTTGTTAAAGAGTCATTGGTCTGTTTTCCTTCAGAGCGAAAGAGTGGAGAGGCATCATGTCGATATCACGCGTTATTGACAAAAGGTCCCACGTTGCCTCCTCCCCATCTGTTTGGATAGATAAAGATTTTTGGTTTCAATCTTCCCCTTTCCCCCCTTCTCCCCTCTTTCACTTCTTTCCCTCCCTCTCTCCTCTTTCATTATGTGTATTTTTGGCATCGAAAGACTGGGAGAGAAAGAGAGAGAGAGCCATTGCGAAAAAAATAACGGAAGAAGAGCGTAAGAGAGAGAAAGAGATAGCTTTGGTGTGAAAGGCGAGGTTCTCTTTCCTCCTTCCTCCTCCTCTCTGATTGGCCCTTGGCGTGGTCACTCAATCTTGGCTCCGCCCAGAGAGGGCGGGCTGTGTGCCATTTCGCTGGAGGAGCAGGAAGAGGCGGGGCTGGAGCAGGGGGAGGGGGAGCAGAGGGTGGGGCTGATGCTGCTGGCCGAGGGGAAGGGGGACGGCTGGGAGGCTTTGGCTATGGCAGCGCTGAGCAGTCCAGCGCCAGGGTTCTGGCCCATGTGAAGGAAGGCGGGGTGGTTGAGGAAGAGGGAGGAGGGGAGGCCCCCTCCCTGGCCCCCAGAGGCCCCCAGCATCACCTTACTACCCCCCTCAAGACTGGAAAGAGGCAGCTGGCCACCACTGGCTGCTAGGGCTGAGGGAGGGAGAGAAAAGAGAAAAAAGTTGAAGGAATATTTCACTTTTACAGTTTTTCAGCTTCATTTAAATTTTTGTTATTTGATATTTTTTGGCATTAAGTAAATGTTTGGTTTAAATTTATCCTTCCTACTCCTCTTCCTTCAAACCCTTCAAAATGGAAACTAAACGCAGTCCTCCACTCTATGTTTTGTCCTTGCTGACGCCATTCCTTTGTCACATAGTAAAGTTTGTTATCTGTAGCTCTAATGTTCAGCACTTTTGAGGGGCTGTTGTTTGTTATAAAGTGTTTTAATTTATGTTTTTGATCTATGAACTCTCTGTCAGCCTTCCTTATCTACCACTACTCAAGTTAATAATTTCCTACGAAACACAGCCAAGCCACAGAAAGTGCCTGAATGTGTTGCATTCAACAGAAGCAGCATAACTGTCACCATCTGTTTTAAATGAAAAGCACAGGGGACAGCCACAAGGTAAAAAGTGCTGCATGAACCTGTGTGTGTTTTTTGTGTTGGGGGGTTGGTATGGGTGGGACGTTTTAAAAATGTTTAATTTTTCCTCCCCAAAAAACCCACCATAATTTCAACACTGTGCCAATGGAGATAAAAGATTATTGCAATAACTGAATGTGGTCTAATATCTGTAGCAAGCTAATTGTGTGTGTGATAATGCAACAGGAAAGCTGATATGAATGGTCTGTTGTTATGGAAATAAGGTATAGTTTCACGCACAAAATACTACATGTGAACACATGATGATACCAACAGCAATACAGATTTTGTTTCCATTGGAGATGAAGCATTAAGCACCCCTGTTACTCAAAGCTCAAAATGCCTTGTGGCTGCACTGTATTATGGTCTGTTGAGTCTACTTTTGTTGAAGAAACTGTTATTTCAGCTATTGATCTCTTGGCGTGTGAGTGTTGAGCATCAAAGTGGTGCGAAACGGTGAGTCAAAAATGTAGTTCTTGCTCTGTGACTCCAAAACTTGATATTTAAAGATGATGCTTTAAACGTTTTTTGTCAACATGTCAATTACTGGTGCACACATTCACGTAATTTCCCTAACAACAATGTTTTCTGTGTCACAGTGTTTTATGGTGAATGAATGAAGAGATGAAAGGCTAAAGATGAGTGAGACAGCACAGACGCACAAGCGAAAACTTAGCCCGCACACGTTAACGTAGCCATCGCCATTCACACACAGTCACTTGATGGGATGGATTAATGGATGTTTGATGGCAACATATGAGAAATAAGTCCATTCTTCCTCTCTACAACTCTCTGTCTCAGCTGCTTCACGCTGTTGATGAGCAGAAACCCTCAGCTGCCTATTCATCCATGTCTCCAGTCAGTAGTCTACCAGCGCGATTTGATTCACCTACCATGCATAACTGTATTACTCATCATCACACTTCTCTTTTTAATACATCCCTCTCCCTTTCTCGCCCTTGCACCACACAGTATGATTAAAAATTAGGTCTGCTTATGGCGGTCGGGACTCTTTGGTGGTCATTTCTGCAGGATTGCACACTTTCTTTTTTCTCTCCTGTGCTATTCTTGTATTGTTCTCAAGTGTAGGAAGGTGTGTGAGAGGGGATGTGTCGTGTACAGTATGTGGCTGAGTTTGAGCATTTATGTACGTGTAGGAGTGTATGAGAGACAGAGGTTTGTGTAAGTGTTTGAGAGGAGGGAAATGTTTTGTCAGTGTGCTGAACACAAAAACTCTCTTCTGGGTGTTTTAATGTATTCTGTGAGATTTTTCCAGTAATTAAATAATAACCTCCACCTCAGCCTTGAGGTCTATATCTATATTCTATATAAGTGTTGCTGATGCTAAGTTTCTCCTGAAATAAACCCATTTCAGTGTCTCGCTTTCTCTGTCTCTCGCACACCTTGGATAGTGGCCAGGGGATTGTTACCTAGGAGGGCTTGGTTCATCCCTGTGTTTACTCCCATCACAGTGTTCCTGTTGTGTCACACACACACACACACACACACACACACACACACACACACACAGCACCACACGTACACAAGCATATATACGGACACAACAGACAGGCAGAGGAGAAAAAGGCGAGAAAAAAAGCAGGTTTAGCAGCAAGGACAAGCAGAGGGCAAATTCAGCCCTGCACATATAAATAGCAGTAGTTTGCTGACAGGTGGCTGTACAGGCGTAAACAAGAGGTTAGAAATGCAGAAAGAAACAGGACATCTTGGAACATGTTATAAAACATCTAAACTCTCATTAACTATGCATTCATATTAAACTATGGAAGTCATTAAATATAAGAACATAGAGCCTTCTGGATTAAACAAAAGTGTATTGTAAGTTTATTGTGTGTCTCTGTTGTATTCACCTCAAGTTTGCAGCAAAATCGGTGATGTAGTTAGACACGTCACCATTCTTTTTACCCATACGCCATAAGCTGTGAACACAAGAACCACACACACAAACACACACAGGGTTATAAAGCACTGCCACATAAGGGAAGCAGTGGCGCCAAATGGCATGTTGAGATATCGTGTGTGTGTGTGTGTGTGTGCACAAACAGTCATTGTGTGTGTGTATCAATCATTTAACTACAAACTGTAGGTGAACCCGAGCATGGTGCAGTGCAGTATTCATGGTGAGCATGTTTATGGAAATGTGTGGCTATGTGTAGTTACAGTTCGTGTTATGTGTGCTTAAATGTTTTGTCTAAAATGGATTCAGCTGCGGTAGCCACCACAGACCAAGTCATCATAAAAATTACTATTCAGATGAATTTTACCTCAAAAGAAGAAGAAAGCAAAAATAGCTGTATTACATAAAGGGTCACCCATATCATTAAATGAAATGGTATCTAGCCAGGCAGATACTGTGGATTATTTATTGTATTCCGACTTTGCAACATCCATCTATGAGATTGTTGCTGCCAAGCCAATACATTGGAGATAAATGGAATTGTGTCTGTGGGATTCACAGCAGTGAGAACCTATATAATAATAAAAATATTATTATAATATTATAATATAATTATATGTAACAGCAACACATTTTGAATTAGTTAATTTGGATAATATGTAGCACACACAGTTAATATTTTTATTATGAACCATTTGATAATTATAGTTGTTAATATGCTTTTTTTTCAGGACTCCTATCGACACCAAATCTTATTCCACTACCTCAGCAAAACCAAGGGACCCTGCTGTCTGCTCCAACTAGAATGGGACTCCAAGCACAGGTATGAAAGTAGAGCCAATAAAAAATATATGGTGTGTTCTGTACATTATCCAGACTAAAAGGACCGAGGGATGTTGCTCTTAAATTCTTAAGCTGTAACATTACAAACCACAAAACAAGTTTGTACGACTTGCTGTCTATTTAGGATGGAGGACTAATGTGTAAAACAGCCCCACTTGAAGGCCGATGTGAATATAGAGCAGAGAGGGAAGATACTTGTTTAAATACGGGGATAAAGGCACACATTTTCAGACATCCTCTCCTGGAAGGTATTTATTGTGCTACACTCATTTGCCTATATGAAAAAAGAAATACTTTTGTAAATATCAACAAAAGAGGGATTAAGGGAAAGTTCAAACCCTGCCAACTTTCTCACCTCTGAACACCTGGTGAATGAAGTGGGTGTGAATGTGGGATTGCCACATTCAGAAAGCTGTAGAAATTGTTAGGTGCAGCCCCTCATTCCAATATCAAAAAGGTGTGGGGGTTGAGGGTTAGGGTTAGGAAAGTTGAATTATCTGGCGAGCCCTTCTGTTGAAGCACACTGGCCCAGTGAAGAGACAGATATCTTAAAACCTGGCCAAATGAAACAAACTATATGAAAGGCTAGATATCTCCAAAGCTAAGTGGAAAATAGGTTTTCTTTTCATAATTTGGTGGTGAACAGATATTTTAAAACCCCTCATTTGCCCTGACCATAACCGCAGTGAAGTAACTGGGGGAATCCCAGGTGGTGTATTGTTTCTTACCCTGTGTTAAGGTTGAGTGTGCTGTGGCTGGGAGTGGCTGGGCTGGCCGTGCTGCGGGGAGGAGGAGGAGGAGTCACTGGGGAGGGTGTGGAGCTGAGGGAGGGGTGGGTGGAGGTGAGGCTGGAAGTCAGGGGGCAGACGGGGGACATGGTTGTCACTGTTGTGCTGAGACTGGTCACAGCCTGCGACAGCTGGCTAGACATCTGGCAGAGAGAAAGAGAGACCGATTCTGAAACTACAGACAGCTGAATAACAGAGTTTATTACCAGCTTTTCACTAAAATACACGTACTGAGAAGACTGTGATGCATGTGTGTCCATTAAGCTAACAGGTGTAACAGTGATGTCGAGGTTGGATATTTACCATGTGAGGGCTGTAGCAGGGTGGTTTGTGCGTTGGAGGGGCAGAAGGGGGCTGGCTGGTCAGGGGAGGGGTAGCACTGGAGGGATTGATGCGTTTCTCTTTCTGCCGGCGGTTGCAGAACCAGACCCGGATCACCTCCTTCTCCATGTTGAGCTGCTCTGCGATCAGCAGTATCTCTTCTGAGGTAGGCTTCTGGTTCTGCAGGAGGGGAGGGCAGGAATTCAGATCATTTCAAGGAGTGCTACGTTTCAGCCACACGATTCAAACCATTAAAAACAATGAGGCATAAATCATTTGTATTAACACAAAGAGCAGAATCTGACATTTAAAAACTCGACACAACAAATGACTGTCCAGTATTAAGAGACTATGCTTTAAAATCTCATAAAACTCCTGTGGCCATTACAGCATTTTCACCATAATATATTTACATATATCAACTCTACAAAAACAAATTGTCTAGCAGGCTGAGATAAGTTATTATTAAATGAATCAGCAGTCACAAAGTTGTTTTGTACTTGGGTCAGGCAAAAATCAATCACTGCAAGAAAAGCATTTGGATTACTTTTAGAGTGAAAGATATACAAATTTCAGCTTTTTAAAATTTCTAATAAAATGTCTTTATTTCTTTATTGAATAATAAGGTTATTTATCTTACCGTCATGAATGCGCGTTCCAGGGCCACGCGTACATTTGTTTCGATGCTGGTTCTCTTCTTTCTGCGGCGACCAGGAACGCCGTCGAAGCCCAGAGAGGAGGAGGACAGGGAGCTGGGGCTGGGTAGGGTACTGTCTATGGACATGGTTTCTGATGAAGGAAAACAAATACATACAGACTGAATGTCAGACTAATTATACTTGTCATACTCTCCTAGCATGTACTTTAAACACATAAACACATGAATGTAAAGTTATTTTGATGAGGGCTCACCTGCATCATTGAGCCACTTCTCCAGCAGTGGCTTCAGCTTGCACATGTTCTTAAAGCTCAGGTTGAGGGCTTCAAAGCGGGAGATTGTGGTCTGACTGAAGTCATTGCCATACAGCTTCCCCATGGCCAAGCCAACATCTCCCTGGTGGAAAGATAAAAGGAGGAAGTACCATTTTAGACAAGTCAAAACACAAAACATTCAACGCAGAGGTAACCTGCACATTCACACATATACAGTAGGAGTCTCTTCCTACCTGTGTGAAGCCTAGTTTGATGCGTCTCTGTTTGAAAGTGCGGGCGAATTGTTCCAGCTCCTCCAGGTCACTGGGCTCCTCGGGGTGAGAGGTCACTGAGGGTACCGTGGTCATGCCTCCACCGCCGCTCACCTCCATACTCTTATCTCGCTGTAGCTGGTACAACATCAGAGGAATGAAAGTGAGAACGAGAGGGAAAGAGAGAGGAGTTTGTTCACTGAAGATGACACTGTTTTCCTTTTCTGACTAAAGCATGAAAGTTTCCTCCTACCTGTGCTTGGAGTCCCATTCTAGTTGGAGCAGACAGCAGGGTCCCTTGGTTTTGCTGAGGTAGCGGAATAAGATTTGGTGTCGATAGGAGTCCTGAAAAAAAAGCATATTAACAACTATAATTATCAAAAAAGCAGATTTTGTGTTAACAACTCCCAAAACACAAACAATTATTCCAGTAAGAGGCCTGCCCACCTTGCTGGCCCTGCTGTGCCTGCGGGAGGAGGAACTGGGTGGGAGACGGGAGCGGGTGGCCGGGAACCAACACCAACTGCTGAAGCTGCAGCAACTGCTGGATATCCTATTCAATCAGATCAGAGAGAGAATGAAAATGTATGAATTCACAAAGGATGGATGGAGGGCTCAGTCACACAAAAATGTCTGTATCTTATCTATCACCAGCCGAGGAAAGGAACAGATTTGGACATACACAAAACATAGAAGTAATCGGAAAAAATCTGTTATTGTATAACGTAACGTATGGAAAATGTGTGCATTCACTCAAGGTGGAAACTGTGAATCATGAAATATACAGTAGACATGTAAGAAGAATTGTTCCATGGCTGGCTCCTCAATCAAGCCGCTCATCAGAGAGTGGCTTTGATTGTTAGTCAGTACCTGGGCGGTGAGCTGGATTGGCTGGGAGAGGGTGAGCTGGGGAGGAGGAGGGACAGGGACACTTTGGGCTGTCTGTTCCTGTGTGCTCTGTCCCTGACCGTGGGACTGTGACTGGACCTGATGCCCTGTTTGTCCCGCCTGCTGCTGCTGCTGCTGTTGCTGCTGCTGCTGCTGCTGCTGCTGCTGCTGGGCTTGCTGATTTGCTGCTGCGGCTGCCTGAGCTTGCTGATTGGCTTGGGCGGCTGCGTGGGCAGCATGAGCGGCATGGGCTGCACTGGACTGCTGCACAGCTGCAGCCAGGAGCTGCGCCTGAGCCTGCTGCAGCAACAACTGCTGCTGTGCTGGCAACAAAGCTGTCAGCTGGTGAAGGGAACGAGTAGGAGAGGAGAGGAGAGGATTGACATAGTAAAAAAGGAAGAAATTTACACAGTAGCACAAAGAAGGAAACAAAGTCTTAAAAAAGCAGCACAAGAGAAGCAAGCAAAGTAAAAGCAAAGCAGTGTGTGTGTGTGTCTGTGGGCACATGTTGCAAGTTTGTCTTACCCCTGCTAGCTGGGAGCCGGTCAGCATGAGCTGTGTATGTTGCAGGGCCGTCTGTGAGGGGGTCGGGCCGTGAGAGAGAGGAAGGGCCGGGGACATCTCACCGCACTCCTCCATCTTATTCTGTGTGGAAGACAGAAAAAAGAGGGGTAAATATAGAGGAACATTAATTTAAAAAAACATACATGCATCCAGAACATAATTCCTAAAATGAGCTTTCTTCTCTCAGAAGATTCCTCTTATCTCACTGCTGAAAAGAGTAATTACACGGCTCCTTACCAACATAAATCTAGCGAGTAACAAAGCATGTCTGCACTAAAAACACAGTCATAGAAAAAGAGCAAATATCAAAAACAAAACAACTACCCAGAACTTGAAACTGGTCAGAAAGGACAATTACAAACATACAACTACATAAGCTTACCTGGCTATTTAAGATCATGCTAGGAAGCGATGATTATATCAATTTCAGTAATTTCTGTCAATGCTAATAATCAGTCACAAATAAGATGATCAGAAATGTGTATCTAGTCTGTCTCAGGTAATGAGAGTCCACTAGTCTCTCTTATTCTTGCACAAAGAGATGAATTATCTCTTCTCCCAGGATCAGGCATGTTTGCACTGGAAAGGGGCACTCTTCCAACTTACTGATTTGCATACAGCATCTCCTGTGGTATGCAAATGAGGAAGGTTTTACCTTTTGGTGAGTTGTGGCTTAATAGATTTATTTCAATTCTGAGACTTTGTGAATAGAGAGTGCCATCATACGCTCTACTCTCAGGGAATTTGTTTACATTCAAGGCTGGGTGGAGAGTCGACACATTATGGACCTCAACGTCGAACACGACAAAAGAGTAATTGAACACACAGCAATGAATACAAAGCGGAGGCAGCTATATTGTCAATAATCCTGTTGTGTGATACTGAAACACAAAAGATTCACAAACATAGGCCCAGACATTCGAACAGACGAGCACAGGCAGTTCAGTAACATGGATACACACACACACACACACACACACACACACTCACACACACAGTCACACACACACACACACTCACCTTGCTGCTGCTCAGTGATGGTGAAAGAGGAAAGGGATTGACTTTCATTGACTGAGCCTACAGGAGGAAAATTAGAAACTTCATATCAGAAATGACTGCCAAAAACAACTTCAAGTGCATTTTATTTTATATTATTCTCTTTTCTTTTCACAACAAACTTTACCAACAGAAAAAATGTTCTTTTCAAACAGTTGTTTTAGTGATTTACCAAGCAAAAACACTCACCGCTTCCAACTGCTTAATTTGTCAACTGAATTTGTTTGTATTTTACACTGTTAATTGAACAAAACAAGTAACCCAAGATGTCACCTTAGCCTGTGAGAAACTGTGATGTGCATTTTTTTACTATTTTATGACATCATATGGACTAAACGATTAAATGAAAAAGAATCGACATGTTAATTGATAATGGAAATAATCAGCCGCACAAATATCTGGCATATCTGTTATCTCTTGTGGTGCATCAGTTATGTAGGTGAAAGAGGTGGGAGATAAACGTAATGATCACAGGAGTCAGATGTACCTGGTGATTCGATTCAGGTCCATTCCGCTCTGAGTCTGCGTGGGAGGGAAAGGAAAAAGTGAGAAATTGATCACGTGTTAGAGTACAAATGCACAAACAGACAACCGCAATATACAGTGCTACGTATGTAGAACTTTTTACATACAATATACTGGTACATATGTATCATGATTATTTGCCGCCACAGCAGCACATCTTACCTGTGCCCTCCAGTGGTGAGTCAGCCCCCGCTTTCTCCACCTCTAGTGCCTTTGACATCCTGATATCTGTAACAGGAAGACACACGAATAAGTAAGTCAGTATGATTGATTCTTAAATCTGGTGTCAGACAAAAAATGCAGACAGAAGCAGAATAATAGATGTTTATGAAGCAGGTAATCAGAATCTTGATGACGAAAGGGGAAAGAGTTTGGCCAGGGTGTTGATCTTATTTAGGTTAGGGTTAAGTGTTTTCAGGTTACAGACCTACACACTGTACACCAAACAACGGGGCTGAATCATTCACAAGTTGAATCCAGCCCACATCCATTCATTCTTTCCAATCAGTGGTTTAACATACGAGTAGGCTGACCCAAGGTGATTGCTTGTTCTAAATTTAACCCAAGGTGTTTATGTGGGAGCAATTTTGTACTAAAAAAGTCTCATGTTGTGTGTCACTCATGACAAGACCACATCACTTCCTGGTTGATACTGTATTGGGACAGTCCCTATGGCAACAGCAGTGAGGGTGGCAAGAATTTGATTAATTTAATTCTGTTTATTACAAAAGTTATGAGGCATTTTGGCGGCAGAGAGGATGATTTGAGGAAAGATTTGAGAGAATATGAGCGTGTGTGTGTAAATGTCTGTGTACCTGTGTGTATGCAGTAGTTTTGTTTTGTTCCTCCATGGTATTATCTCACTATAAGCCTTTTTATTTGTCTGAAACCACAAACTGTGAGACAACTTTTTGTTCTGTCCATTTGAAACTTTTTTCTCTCTTGTTCTCTCTCTCCCTGACAAGCGTGCACACACACACACACACACGCACACAAATACACAGCTACTTCCCTTTTGTGAAAACATGCAAATCTGCCCAACGACCAACTAATTATATCTGCCACCTGCATAATAAACTCTCAGTCCTCCTTTTTCTCCCCCCCCACCCTCTGCATCTCTTCTCTCTTCATCCTTGTTGTTTCTCATGTTGCAGATGAGCAATGACACTATGGCAATGGGATTTTCACATCAGCTTATTGCTGTGCTTTTATCAAAGCAATACAGAAAATACTCTTATTTGACTTTCTTCCAACAAGCAGGTGGTCAAGCATGGTTTCACCATTGGGGGGCAGCAGTGACACATGGAGAAGATGACAAACCTGCTCCACTGACCACCAGTGCAATCAATATAAGGGAAGAAGTCATAGATAAAGTGAGACACTCCCTGATCAAAATAATATTCAACACACTTGTTTCAGTGAAACAAATGTGACAAAAGTGGACTTTGGTACATGCAGTGTCTTTCGGGGAAGGGGGAAGTGGCGGTCAGCTACAAAAGCTCCACTCTCACACTCACACAGGCTAAAACCCAGGGTCAGGGAACACATGCACACTGACCACAGGATTTCCCTCAAATAAATGGACTTTTGCAAAAAGCTAATTTGGTCACCAGCCATGTGGATGCAAACTTGGTTAATCTATTATTAGGGTCAGTTTGTGGTAATCCCAAAGTTACATATACAATATAGTACTGTTTTGGTAATATATGGCTGAAACTGTCCAATGTTGCTCAATGTCTGGTGAAAAACCACTGAATCTGCAACATGTACAAACAATACAAAAAACGTCATGTCTTCCTCTCAAGATACACACATTTAAAACATTAACAAATTGTAATGCAAAATAGAATTAAGAATATTTGTTACTTGGATTACATCGGACTATTGTGTGCTCAAATAATCAGTATGTACAGTGTACAATACCAAAGCCAAATCCACCATATAAAATGATTGTCCAGCTCATAAAACAGTTGTAACGTGAAGTTCCCAAAGTGCTGCCTCTTGTACTGTACTGCCTGCTCGCAGGACACACGGGGAAGGTGTATATTGATTCATGGCTCAAAATGGCCTACAGACAGTAGCATGGTGGATAATGTGGTCAGTAATACAGTGGTGGGACAGTATATCAAGATGCTGTGTCTTTTTCTCACTTCCCCTCGCGACTTCCCCTTGTACCGGGTTGAACGCATAGTGCTAAACCCAACACTTACTGTCAGTGAGGCTATTAATATTAGCCTGTTCTCTCTCACTCTCTCTCACTCTCTTTCACTCTATCTTTTAAAAACCTCCCACTCTTTTACAACACATTGCTGCACACACAAACACACAGCTAATTTTTATTTGACACAGAGCAGAGCTACATGTTATTAATTGTGCCATTTTAATGAACTTCTCTAACTTAATTTGAGAATGAGAGGCAGCATCTCTTAACAGTGGCTCATAGTTTGTCTTTAAGGGGTAAAAACTTAATTTCCAGTAATGTTAAGAAGCATTTTTCCATGTATAAGGTTAAATTACCCACGTCTATTTTGCCCATCGTTAAGCTGTTACAGCATATGCTAATCTTACAACAAAGCGAGAGTTTTTCTTTGACCCTGTCAGAGCCACACAATACTCACTGTTTCTGAAACAGACCAAATTTAATGCTGTATAATCCTGTGTCATGAATAAATGACGCAACAGAAAGGAACGAGGAACAAAAGTGTCTGTGCTCAGGCTGGACTGTTTCTGTTATTCTCCTCTGGGTATTTTGGCTGAGATGAAACTCCACTGCAACCACCCTTAACCCCCCACCAACACCCCCCCCCCACCACCCCACTTCCTGATTCAGGACACAACCCCATCGCCAAGGGGGATGTCTGGAAACCGGAGTCATCACACCTACTAACGACAGATTTCAAAAACCAAGCAGCGCTGAGGGGTGCCTAATTTTGATTGCAAAGGAATATTTTCCATTTAAAAGTTAGCCTCAAAAAGTCTGCTAACCAGCTCAATAGCTTTAGCACATCTGCATGAGGACAACATTTCAGCATGAAACAAGGAGCTGAACAAAGAAAAATAAGAGTGAATAAGTAGATCATGACAGAATATTTAAGAATAAAGGAAAGGAATTGAAAAGGAAAATCTAACAATACAGTAAGAAGCTAAATTAAAACCTGAGATGTGACAGCAACTTCAGGTTGACCATCAAGGATGTGACATTTTATTATGGTCTGTGCTGCTGACATTGTTTCATCAGTTTTAAGTTTGTCAATTAAAACATAACCTACTGTGTCTCCGTAAAAAATACTAAATACTAAAGACGTAAAATGCTAAATATGAGCACATAAAATACCTTACATATGCAAATGCTGCTGGAATATAAGCAGATGTCACGGTGGCAGGTCTTTGACAGTGAGAACCATGACAATTTAAACTATATGCAGAATTATGTTCATTTTTCAGAGTAAAACAAATATGTTTTCAATTAATGCATTGATGCAGGGATTGAGCAGGGATGTAAATGCAGAAGGTGAGACTCTTCATGACCATACAACACATACACATTAAAATTGGGGAAACGCCTCTTTATAGCCAAAGGCAACACTTAATATTTCTCATTTATTCATTTACAATTCTGGCATAAATTAGCAAAACTGCTGACCTGTTTAAACAACGTTAACGTGACCCAGATAGTAGAATGCGAATGTGACAATGTTTTTGTTAACATTCTAAATAAATCCACTTGCAATGTGATGTAATGATATGTCACTCTGGTTTGAATAACTCACGGTCACAGCAGTGACCACAACAGGTTAAGAAGTGACTCTAAGTGGTTTTATTAACTAATGAATCACTTATTGATAGACACAGCACATTGTCAAAGAAATGTGTAATTCTTTAGAAATCATAACAGCCCATCAAAGACTGAGAAACATGAGCTAATTGACATTTTAAAATATTTTTCTGGTAATTGGTGAGTCAGTTAACAACCTGCTGTGCTTTTCTCTTCAGCTAAGACTGTGACTACCACTTCTTTCAGCCTGAGCTGAGCCCCCAAACAAGGCCCATATAGGGCAAGAACTGTCACATTTTGTTCTGCTTTGTTTTCATACCAATTTTGAAATACTGATGACAATGATTTTAGGCTTTTCCCCTTTCAAGTGTCTGTCTTTTTGTTTAAGTATATTTGCATCTGTGTGCTTTCAAAACGTGCTTTGAATGAACAGAAAAATTAATATTTGAAAATGAGCAAAGCAATAATCAGTGCAACCCTCCCATGCCTCCAACACACACATACATGCACAGAAAGTTAACACCGGTTTCAAAGTTGCACGGCAAGAAACCTTACCAGTTAAATATCTCTGAACTGAACACATATGTAACGCGGTGCTAAGCAATATAAAGAATGAGGGGTTTTATGATGACAAATAAAAATTAATTCAAATCACAATATAGAAAAACACTGGCGAGATGTGCAAGCTGCAACACTGGTATTTCATTACCAGTGCATATCAAAAAACTTTTTTACTATATTTTCTTCAAGCTTTTTTAGCATTCAGTATTCAGTATAAACACAAACACACACTTATACACACACAGAGGCATGCTATGGGCGAGGTGTCTGACCTTTCCCTCTGCCTGCGACAGGCGTCCACCCATCCATCCATCCATCCATCCACATCTTTCTCTTCGTACCACCTCTCCCTCTTTGATGCTCTCTAATTAGCTCAGCTTGTTAGACTCAGTGGTATTAATCAACAGCGTAGACACAGTTCTCTTTCTCTCTCTCTCTCTCTCTCTCTCTCTCTCTCTCTCTCACACACACACACACACAGACACAAGAACACACATACACACATACACACACACACAGTGTCCTCTCCGTCACGCAAAGCTTAATTGGTCTTGGTAAATGAAGGCCAGCAGAGAGAGGGCTGCACAGACAGTCACTCACCTGGCAACCACATACTGGAGAAGTCCTTTGCCGCTATAGCTGCTGTCTTGGTCATATCTGTGTCTGTGTGAGAGAGTGTGTGTCCGCTATGTAAAGAAAAACTCTCACTCTCCCCCGTCTCTGTCTCTCTCTAACCAAAAAGGAGGAGTGTATTAAATCATATGGTTGAGAGAATCACTCTCTACATCCCTCTCCTCTCTCTCTCTCTCTCTCTCTCTCTCTCTCTCACAAACGCACATGACAGTCCACACCCCCAAGCCCCACCCCCCACCCCACATCCTGCAGCAGAACA